ATCTATAAACTTAATTGAGAAGCTCTGCATGATAAAAATATTTGTATGCTGAATAATTTAAGCAGCTGGCACTTTCCAGTGGAAACCTCTTTACTCCTACAGAAAAAAAAATTTGCATTTTTTGGGTGATAGTGTATTTTTGCTGCCAGATATACATTAGTGAATTGATACCATATCTGAGCCATAGCATGCCACTGATGATAGATGCTCCTGGAGACTTTCTGGGCTTGTTGTGAGACACATTCTGAGAAGTTGCTTTTATACCTCCTCTTCTAAAGTTCTGACTAGATAAATGGTAGGTCAGTGATCAGAGATGTATGGTCATTTTACAGTAGATGATGTGAATATCTTTTACAGTCAGAGCATCTTTGGGATGGAGGGAATAGAGTGCTTCTGTCAAGAATGGCTCACTGCCATTTCTTCCTTCCTCTCAGGAAGAGAGAAAACTAGCAATTCTGGTTTCCCTTTCCCTGGATACATAATAGGCATGCAAAGGCTCTCTCCTACCCTTTTGCATTGCAGCAAGGCTGTATTCCTCTGTTCCTTGGTGCCTGTGTACAGTTGTCTGAGTAGAATTGCAGAGTTTAAAATCATGCCTGCTTGCTTTTCTTCCTCATGTGATTGAATTCTATGAGCTTATTCTGAGTTGCACAATCCCAGAGTGACCCCTTTGCACTAAGCAATGGATAATATTTGGCAAAAAAAAAGAAACATTACAAAAGTAAAACTTTATATATATAAAAAAAGTAATATCTGTAATCCAGATAGCCTTTACAAAGGCAAGAGAAACTTCGTGATGTAATATCTAGACTTTACATAGGTCAAGTCTATTAACAATATTTAATTAGCATAGTGGTATTATTTTGGAACATGAAAGTACCACATCCCATACAGTACAGCTGTAATGTCATACAATGTGTGTAAATGCAACCAAGACCTCTATCAGGAATTCTCTGGTGAATCTTCTTATCCTAGTACGTTGTTACAGTACAGAAGTACCTGCCTGCCTTACTGCAGTGCTGACAGGGTCGTCCTCACTGTGCTTTGAGGTTTACAGAAGCAAATTCATGCCCATGCTTCAACTACTATAGCTCATGTTGCACCATGTTTGTACACAACAACCTCTATCGGCGCCTGTTTATTGGAGTTACAGCACTGCACTGGCATTTTTGTGTTGTAGCCTCACAAAATGCAATTGTTCTTGCAACTTTTATACAGCTTTGACGGCTTTAAATGACTGGTTGTCTGAGAGCAGCTCTAGGGATGGTGTTGGAACATAAGGGAAAGAAAGGCTTCAGGAGACAAGTTCATGGAGAAGGTCTTTCTGATCATTTGGTGTTTGGCTTCAACACAACTATGATTTTTTTTTTCTTTTAATAAAAACACTAAATATATCAAATTATTTAACTGTTGCTGCTAAAGGGGGAACTTTTCTTGCCCCATCCCTTGCCCAAAATTTAGTGTCTTTTTCGCTCTAGGGAATTATTCAGGTTCATGAATAATTCTAAAAATGTACGCTTTTTTGGCCATTTAACAATCTGAATCAGCTTGTCAGAGGACCATGTGAATGGTGGAGGAGGAGGAGTAAGAGAGTAAGCAAGTACAGTAAGTGAGAATTGTCTGTCCTTGAGCCATTCCATAGAAGAGGCATGTGACTTTGTGAATGGATTAGCAATAAGCCTTGAAATGTGTTTTATGTTCATTTGCTCTGTGTATAGGCAACATTTTATGTTTTATCACCAAATTTGCTCATAATTAGTGAAAACTAACTGTATAAGTACCAAAAACTAATATATTCATATGTGGCCATAATGTTGAAATAATAGAAATAAACTAACAGAGGAAGGTATTTCAAGCATATTATGGTGTACAATACCATATATATGCAATGACTATATATAAACATTGATAAAAAGATGTTTGAAATTTTGCTTTTGAGAGTTCTTTTCTCAAGTGATTACCTGGAGATTAAAAAAAATCAGCAAAGGAATGGGCATTTTTATAGGTGTTTTGTTTGTCAACTGGTTTTAGTACTGACTACTGATGTCAGAAGATAATTAATCCATTATATGATCTCTAAATATCCTGGCTGCAGTTTCACTAACAGGAACTCTTCTAAGTGATTGCATTGATTTTAAGAAGCCAAAGTTATTCATATCACAGAACATTTTTTGTATGTTCAGATAAATAATACTTTCACACTTCACAAAGAACATGAAGACACAGTCCTCCACAAAGGGAAGGAGAAAGCAGGGAGAGAAAGTACGTCCTGATTCTCTTTTGAAAAGCTGTTGGTGCTTTGCATCTCTAGCTAGTTCTACAGCAAAAGAGAACAGAAAGTTTAATGAGGCTGAGAGTCAGCTGAGATGATGCATAAAACTGGGAGGGGGGGTAGCGTTTTGGTTTGTTAGTTGTTTTACATTTTGCTGTGGGCTTTTTGGGAGGGGGAATTGGGGGAGGGTGTTGTTCATTTTGTCTTTTTGTGGGATTTGCGGGGAGTTGCTGGTTTGTTGGAGGGGGGTTTTGTTAATGGGGGGGGTGGTGGTGTGGGGGGGGGGGGGGGGAGAGGAGAGGAGGAGGAGGGGAGGAAAGGCTGTAGGAACCGGATTCTGCCTTCCTAATAATCTTTGAAACTTTTTATAGATTGCCAGAGCACATTTTTCATCCTATTTTTGACAGTCATGTTCTTCAGGATATCAAGAAAGTGATGAGTAATCATGACAAAAAGAATAACATAACTAATTAAGCCTAGTTTTGAATGGATTTCTGTCCTGCGGCCTATCCATTTTTCTACTGCAATATCTTTGTCCCTCCCAACCACCAATTTTCACAAAATCTGTAGGAATCTAATTATCTCAGACGTCTTCATCTCTGTCAAATTTAGATTAGCTCAGTCAATGAGAGAACAGTGCTATTCCACTAGGAAAACAAGTTAAAATGCTAGCTAAAAAATAGGGTGGTTTCCAGGCTTATTTATATTTGACTTCATTTATTAAAAGGAATTCCTATTTTTTATCAGAGAATTCTAGAATAAAAATATATTCATATGTTTAGAAACAGTAAGAGGATGGAATGGGTCCTAGTTCTTATTAGTCTTAAACGCAAAATTGGATTTTGTCTTTAAATACACATGTACAGTGTGAATTACATCTCTGTGAACAAAGGGTAATCCCAAACGTGTAAGAATGTTAATGTATTCAAATAATGTGAAGTCCAGATTTAAAATGTTAAAAATATAAATTTAAGTCACTCCACCTTCTTTTATTGCCCTCCCACATCTGTGAATTAACATGTTTAATCACATGAGTAAACAAAAGAAAACTGTAATTTTAAAGTCTAGAAGCTGTTAGTAGCATAATTAACTTAGAAACCTGTTGTTCGTGATCAAGTTGGCTTGTAAAGTGATAATATTAAATAATTAAGCTTTTTTCCCAATTATTATTTAGTGCATCAGGACTGTTGTAGTTCATTTTTAGGCATAGAAAATGAGGTAATACCCTCCAGACTGATCTTGGTCTCTTTATTTCCTGTGAAACAAGTGTGCGTGCCATCACTGATTGGGGAACAATAACAAAATTATTCTGAATTTTCCTTCTTTCCTACTCTCTCTCTTCAACTTAAAAGGGTTAAATTTTTTTTTAAAAAAAGTTCTTTGTCCTAAATGTTCTTACTGAAATCCATTATGCATGAAAAGAGTCCAAGTCCATTTGCAAGACCTCTAAATGAACTCCATTCATTCTGTGCTTAGAAATGTCCATTCAGCCAGAAACAGACACAATAGTTACAACCTCATTTATTTGGCACCAATACCAGCTTATTAAAAGTGATGGGATTGTTATGAAAAACTATAATAATTTTTCTATGCTAGTTATATAATTCTTTAATAAAATTCCTTTAGGATCTGAATAATGTAATAATCGCATATATGTTCTTTGCCCATAGTTGTAATGCAGTAGCATTGCATTGATCTAAAATTCTTAAACATTCAGGAAGATTCTGAAATAGCTATTTTGAAAACTCAAGTTGATCTAGTTTAATTTATTTTGATGTAAAACAAGTTAATAGGGACATTATTTCTAGATTATTCAGAAATTAACACACAGAAACACAGAATGGTTTGGGTTGGAAGGGACCTTTAAAGATCATCTATTTCCAACTCCCCTGCCGTGGGCAGGGATATCTTTCACAAAGCCAGTTATTAATCATAATTAGTGGCTATGGAGAAAAAAAGTTGTAAAGTTCTTGTCTTTTAAAACAGTAGAACTTTGTTTACATATGGAAGGTAAAATACTTACAATACACATGTCAATTGCAAGAATATAGTATTATATTTTCATCACTCTAAAATCCATGAAGATAAATCAAGAATTCAATACTCCACATTTTGTAGGTCATGAACGTAAAGCAGGGATTGTCCCATTGTGATCAGCAGAATGTTGTGATCCTCAGGTGTATGTGTTTGATATCAGACCATATTATATCTTATTTTAAATGACTTGAAACATCGAGCAAGATTACAGAAGTATTGTTGGCTTTCCTTCTAAGACTGGGAATAAACAAAAATGATAAGCATTTAAGACAACCTCATTTGCCTTACATCCAAGTAGGACTTTTGTAGTTCTCGTTCTCGCATGTGGTGCTACGATGTGTGCGAGAAAGTCACACAGACCCCTGTGGGCATTCTCTCTCCAGTTCAGGTGTGGGAAGTTCTAAGGATGAATCTAAGGTAACTGTCTGTGTTTTCATTTGGGTGGTGAAATACATTTGTTAATTTCATAACATGTGACAGTGTTTGATGTAGAAATAAATATTATGTTTGTGGGGGAAAGAGAAAGTTAGCAGCAGATACAAATTTCACTTTATGGTATTCTTTGACCTGGAGTCCTTTATTTATCTAGATTCAGCAGTGGCTGAAGACCCTGTTGCTGTCAACTGTCTGGACTGCCCAGGGCCCTTCTGAAGTTAGTGATGTTGTCATTTGCATGCTGACTTGTTTATAGCACTAAGGCCCTTAAGTACTAATCATCATCTTAGAAGGTGGCTTTGGTAGCTGACTGGAACTGACTGAGCATTTCCTCCAACAAACTGTAGAAAATACTGTTTGTGGGAAGTGTGTCGGTGAGGGTGAATGGGTGAGGGGCTCATGGCAGGAAAAACAACTAACAGGAAAGGGTAAGTAGAAACATCATCCTCCTTGCTCTCAACCAGTTCTTTATCTGACAGTCCTCCTGCTGGTTGCTTTTCCTGCTG